CTCCAGGGCTCACCGCGCCCCCCTACCCCGCAGCTCCTTCCAGCAGCGCCTGTCCTACACCACGCTCAGCGACCTGGCCCTGGCGCTTCTCGACGGCACCGTGTTCGAAATCGTGCAGGGGCTACTGGAGATCCAGCACCTCACTGAAAAGAGCCTGTACAACCAGCGCCTGCGCCTGCAGAACGAGCACCGAGGTGCGCAGGGGCAGCGGGACGAGGTGCCTCCTCCTCGGGGTCTGCGCCTCCCGGCAGCTCTTGGTATCTGTGCAGATCGGCTCCTTCCTTGGGAGTGTTCGAAAAAGGTCCCTAAGATTAACAAAATCAAGGGCGCGGAGACTGAGACAGCGCCTTTTTAGTGACTAGTGGGTCCAACCAGTTTTGTTTTCAGTTGCTGCAGCCCCCACTTCTTAGCAGAAACTCCTTGCTCGGGCTTCCCTGTGCCCCAGCCCCTTCCAGACCGGACGGCCCTAGGCCTCGGTGCCTGGTTGGCCTACAGGCAGACTCTGGTGGTGGCACTGATTGCGTTGCCCCTCAGTACTTGGAGGTCTGTTGACAGCTGTGCAGCGAGCGCCTTTCAGGGTCAGTTCCCTCTCAGACCTCGCAGGGCCTCATTCCAGTTGCACATCAAATTCCTAAGCACTGTCTCCTGTGGCGCCCTCCCAAACCCGAAGAGCTTCCCACTTGAGCCGCATGCTTGGTGGGCTTGGGAGTCCTTTCCTGAGAATTATATAGGCCAGGTTCCCCTGCACCATCAGATTTCAACCTTCGCTATTTTATTTTTCCCAAACTTCTTTTAAAAGTTGAAACACTTAGAAAAGCTGAAAAGATAGTCTACTGTGTGTGCTTGTGCTCGCCGCTGAAAGTTCAGTAGTGAACGTTCTGCTCTAGTGCTTGATATCCCAAAATGCGTGCATGTGACAGCATAGCGGTTCACCTAGAGTCTTCAGCGTTCCTGGAGACCAGGATTTTCAACCCAGCAATGTTGACATTTGTGGCTGGGTAAGTCTTTATGGTGAGATGCTGTCTTGCGCATTGCAGGGTGGCAGGGGTACTCTCCCTAGTCCAGAAAACCAAGAATGCCTCCAGATAACCGGGGGGTGGGGTCAACCTTGGCCTCGGATTGGGAGCAAGTTCTCTAGAACAAGAGTGGTCTCCTACACAGCTGCCGAGGGTAGCCCCCTGAGTAATTAACTGTTCTGGGTGTCTCCTGACTTTCAGTGCACGGCCACATCATGCTACCTAGCTTGTGGCAAATTGTTGATTTATAAGTAAGGATCCAGTCCAAGTTCATATACTACAATTGGCTACTTTGGTCTCTTTGCTTCTGGAACAGTCCCCAGCATTTATCATGGCATTGACTTTGTGTAGAGTCCGGGGCAAATGCCCTGCTCTGGATCTATCAGGCTGCTTCCTCGTGCATTTAACCTGCTTCTCCACTCTGGGTTTCCTGTACACTGGACTGCTGGTAGAAGCCTGATTAGAAGCAGGTTTAATGTGGCAAAAATTCCTCCTAGCGGTGCAAGGCGCCCTTCCCCAGAAGGCAGGCACTGTCCATCTGCTCCGGGATTCGTGTTTCTATCAAGAATGGATGTTGGATTTTGGTAGACCCCTTTTTGGCAGCTCTTGAGATGATCACATGGTGAATCATTTTCTATGACTACAGTGAATTACAGTTACTTGAATTCCATCCTACTTGGTCATGCTGTAGTATCCTTTTTATGTACGCTGGATTTGATTTGCTAAAATCTTAAGAATTTTTTGGTGTATGTTCATGACAAACTGTGGTCTATAGTTTTCATGTAATATCATCTGGTTTGGGTATCAGGGTTTTTGCCAGCCTTATAGGATGAGTTTGGAAGTGTTCTCTCCTCTTCTGTTTTCCAGAAGAGTTTGTGTAGATTTGGCATTACTTCTTCCCCTAAATGTCTGGGCGATTGTCTTTTTAAAATTTTTCATTGAGCTGTAAGAGGTATACAGTTTAATCCCAAGAGCATGGCTCAGTCCTTGATGCTCAGACTGTGCCATGTGTGGCCAGTGGGGGCGCTCCAGGCTCCTTTAGATGCCTCCCCATCATTCCGTGAGCACTTCCTTGCTTTCTGGTTCCAGAGCGTGTTCAGGCTCATCTTTTGTTTTCTCCCTGTCTCAGTCCTGGAATCGGCCATTTTTCCACAGGGCCCTGGTCCCTTCTAGTGGGATGGGGAGTTTCAGTAATTCCCTAGGCCCATTGCTGTTTGGGCCAGGCCCTGGTTCCACCAGCAGCAGGCATGCCTGCGCTGACGTTCTGCTTCTCCTTTCTGATTTGGCAGGGGTGACTGGCTGCTCCTGCCTCCTTTGTGTTCCCTGGGCATGTCTAAGGCCAGGCCCCTTCTGCCCAGGCAGCCGGCGTGGCTCTCTTCTTGCCTTTTGGTTGCCTACCTAGTGGAATCTGGTAGTGGGCCTGGCACTTGTAGCAATGTTTGATCAGTAGAGTGAAGGAGGTGACATTTCCCTGCTTCCCTGTGTTATGGAGATGTCTTGAGGGAGCTCTTGGTTTGAAACATATTTCATGTAATAAATGCCATCATTGAGGTGTGTACAAAATGCCAAGAAACAGGAGATCGGGGAAGGCTGCAGGCACAGAGGGAGCCAGGCTACCTGCAGGGGGAGCCTCAGGGACCCTGGAGTTCCCTGGAAACTTGCCACCAGAGAAGAGCTGCAACATCAGGGCTCTTCCCAGGAACAGAGTGTTGGGTTTCACGTTTCTTGTGACCAGGAACCCCTCCTTCCTGGGGAGCTGTAGCCATTTGGCACTTACTGGTCACTGGCGCCAGCTGCGGGGTGCTGCATGTTCTGTTTCATGGTGGTTTATGTCCCATGATCACTTCCTCTGTACATTCCCCTCAGACTAGACAGTTTGCACACATCTGTGTTTGTGCACAGTTTAGCAGGGACTGTGGAGCTTTACTTGGTGGCCAAGGGTGAGCGCCTCAAAGCCGCACAGGCTTATGGTGCCCCAAGCTCATCCCAAACTTGGGCCTCCCAGGTCTGCCCACCCTTCTCTGTCTGGCGCTGTGCCAGAGCTGGGAACTGCAAATGGGGGAGGGGGCTGCCCACCCTGAAGGGTGGAGGGGCCAAGCACACCCCTGGTAGGCAGAGGCCCCACACTCAGGCTCAGCGACCCCGCTCCTCCTGCTCCTTTCCTGTGCTTTTGTCTGAGGTGGTCTCCGACACTTGAGTAGATGTCCAGTGGCCTGTGGCCATGGACCCTGAAGCCCTCAGACTGCAGCCTCCCTCCCACCCGCCTCCTCCAGCTGCCCTGGGTCTGGGGCTGCAGCTTTGGCCCCACCTGGCCAGTCTTCCCCACCCCACCTTCTTTCAGTGCCCCGCACCTTCTGGAGTCCCCTGGAGACTTGCCATTGGAGAGCCCGGCCCTGGGTGACAGTAGGGTAGGAAGATGGAGGAGGCTGGCGTCCCCACTGCAGATACGCCTTTGGCCTGGCTGCTCTGCTGGGCTGGCAAGGCAGGTGCCCATGGGTGAGGGCTGCTGCCGAGTCCCACTGCCTGCTGACTGGCTCTCATCCCTCCCAGTGCTCAGGCAGGCGCTGCGGCAGAAGCACCAGGAAGCCCAGCAGGCCTGCCGGCCCCACAACCTGCCTGTGCTTCAGGCGGCTCAGCAGCGAGAACTAGAGGTACTGGGAACACAGGCAGGGTGGCCAGCCTAGCTGTCCTGTGGGCACCATCTGGCTCTGCTGACTGGAGGGGTGTTGGGGCTCAGGCGTGGGTGGCTACTCTGGGCCTAAGTGGGCCACTGGAGGCCTAGTGAGTCCTACCAGGTGGCTCCTCCCTGAGGGTGCCAGGTGTGCTGGGGCTGGGTGGAGGGTGAGGGCCTACCAGTGCTCCCCTGGAGTTCACTGGTGCTCCTCGTGGGTTGGGGCCTCCACAGAGCAGGTGGCCTTGAGGGGGTACAAGGGCAATGGTGGGGTGATGGGGCCAGCCAGGAAGGGGCCCATCCTTCTCCCAGGGAGCACAGGGACAACCAGAGACTGGCATGTAACCAACAAGCCATGGGGCAGGGTGTGCCTGCGGAGACGTTTGTGTGGTCCCAAGGCAGCCCCAAGTTAGGGCATTCGTGGAAGCCCCTTAGGGCCCCCTTCAGGAGTTCGCATGGCCGAGGAGAGGCCTGGGTGTGCTGAGGATGCATCGGTGGTGTCAGAGCTGGTGCTGCTGGGGACGGCAGCAGGAGCATGTGTTTGAGCTGCCCTCCCCCTCCCGCCCCACTCCCCACGGCAGGCGGTGGAACACCGGATCCGTGAGGAGCAGCGGGCGATGGACCGGAAGATCGTCCTGGAGCTGGACCGGAAGGTGGCTGACCAGCAGAGCACACTGGAGAAGGCGGGGGTGGCTGGCTTCTATGTGACCACCAACCCACAGGTCAGTGCCTGGGCCTGCTCCGCCCTAGCCCGAGTGCCCCTGGGCCCCACAGACCCCATTCCATCTGGGGTTTCACCACTGGTCCCTGGGGAGCCAAGCTTAGGGTATAGGGGGTGAAGTGGAAGGATTGAGACTCTGGAAAGGATTTCTCTGCCATTCCCAGCACGGAGGCCAGGCCCATTCCCTACAGGAGGGTGAGCCAGCCAGCCACGGGGCACTGCCCACCCTCCCCAGGCCTGCTGTGCCCCACAGGGCCCTCTTCTGCTCCCCTCCCACATGCCATTCCGAGTGGCCCTGCTGGGGGCAGAGGCTCAGATTCTACCCTGTCCTGGCAGGCCATGACCAGGCTTCACAGGATGGCTGCCCTGTGGGCTCACTGCCTGGCATCCTTGGGCCGGGGTGAAAGAAGCCCAGGGGTCACTCTGGCCTTCACGGTGCCCCTCTGTATCCCAGGAGCTGATGCTGCAGATGAACCTGCTGGAACTCATCCGGAAGCTGCAGCAGAGGGGCTGCCGGGCAGGGAAGGCAGCCCTGGGACTGGGAGGTCCTTGGCAGCCACCTGCTGCCCACTATGACCAGGAAGGCAGCCCTGTCCCACCATAGCCACAGGCAGCAGAAGTCTGGGCAGAGTTCATCTTCTTGACCTTTGGCCACTGCCTTCCCAGCTGCCCACAGGGGTCCCCTGTTGAGGAGAGGCCGGGTGGAACCCGGCTGCCTGTCCCCTGGCGTCTGGGACTTGCTGCCAAACGCTAGGTTGGTCTCATAAAAGGAAGGCCGGCCCAGCCTGCCGCTGTCTGCTTCAGGGCCCGGCAGAGAGTGAGGCCGGGGGTTCTCACACCTTCTCACTCCACGGGGCACATCCCAGCCTGCACCGCGGGCCACCGGAGCGCTTGTTCTGGTCTCAGCCGCTCCCTTGGCAGCTGCAGCCCCCATGCAGAAGAGGCTCCGAGGCCCAAGCTCTGTGTGACCCAGAGAAATAAAGATGCCTCAGTGTGGCCCGCGTGTGGCTTGTGTGACAGCTGCAGGTTCTGCCATAACCAGGGCCCCAGTAGGGCCCCCGCCTCTGCTGCAGCAGAGGCCTCTGCCTGGGGGCCCCTTCCTGGGCTGTGCGCCCAGCCCACCACCCCTCCCCCTGTACGGAGACTGGGACCCTCCAGCCTTTCCTGCCCCAGCCCTGGTCCCAGGATGCTGTCACTGCCATCTGCACGGGGCCCCCATCCAAGCCCCAGGGCATGAGGACCACATCCAGCCTGCTTTGTGGGGCTGGGGCTAGAGAGCATGGGAGAAGGCCCGGGGTGCAGGTGTGCGCCTGCCGCAGCCTGGTCAGTGTCCTGTGGGAACCACCAGGAGGCACCTGATGCAGGTCACTGGGGTAGAGGACTCCGGGTGGCAGGAGCCCCAGGGGAAGGCATGCCAGACCCACGTAGAGAACTTGGCCTCTGCATCTGCATGAGTCCCCTCCATGCTGGCCTGGGCCCATGGGCCCTGCTGGGTCCTTGTGGAGTCAGGGTTGGGGGTGTCCAGGTCTGCGCAGGGCCTGGCCTCCAGGAACAGATGATGCTGGAAGCCAGAGTCTGGGGTGAGACTTCTCTGACCCTGTCTGAGCCACTCCCTCTTTGCTGTCCAGAGCTGACCCTGTGTGAGGGCAAGGGCTGTCAGCTGCAGAACAGTGGTTTATTGACCAGGCAGGGCCTCCCCAGCCCGGCCTCTGCTCCCCGAGGGGCTCGGGCTGTGTGGGCTGGCCCTGGCAGAAGGCGGACAATCCTCTAGGCCCAAGGACATGGGGGTCACAGAGGTGGGGGCCTTGGGCCCACACATCCGGGGAGAGTTCCCAACTGTTCCCTGCAGCTATCCCAGGCAGGTAGCAGGTTCGGCCTACACATGAGTGCCCAGACCCTGGGCAGGACTGGGAAGCACTTGACCCCACCTCCAGCAGCTCTGCAAATGCTGAGAAAAAAAGGTGACTCTGTGTGAGGATGGGGTTGGCTGCAGCTGTGGTGATGGCCCAGGGTGGGGCCTGGAGGCCGAGGGTGGGCTGGTGGGTGCTAGGTGCGGCAATGGAAGAGGCTGCCAGTTCAGAGCCACCACAAAAGCTTCAGCCACAGCAGCTGCCGAGCGCCCTTCATGAGGCTGCTGTTCTCCAGGGCGCGGCGGGACAAGTAGGGCAGCACCTCCATCACGGGGCTATAGGACACGTACTTGTAGCCGGCCTGGCCTGCATGGGGGCAGATACGCCATGAGGTACAGGCCCAGAACCGTACCCCATCACACCAGGGAGGGCCCCACTCACCCAGCGGGAAGCTGATCTGGTCACACATGCCTAGCAGCTGTCCAAAGTACACCTGGTGGTCAGCGGGATGCAGGCACAGCTCCTCCATCCTATGCAAGTGGAGCCAGGAGCTGAGGGCCAGCTCCAGGACGCTGTCCCCGGTGCAGGGGTACAGGGCTCCTGTCCCAGCTCTGAGCCCGTCCTACTACCCCAGGTTCCCCATCTACACTCTCCAGACTTCATCCCCTGCAAGGTGGGGCTGGGGTATGGGCTCTGCCCGGCCCTGCCCCAGTGAGGTCTCTTCTCAGCAGGACTCTGCTGGGCTGCCCTACTCTTCTCCCTGGGGAGGCCTCAGCCCTTAGCCAACAAGATCCTCCTCCTGCTTTCCCCAC